ACCCTTTCCACTTGCACCAGTAATTTCAATAAATCTATATTTAGATAATAAAGAAAAAACTTGTTCTTTTTTTCTTAGGCGTAAGAGTTTTCATAAGGAGACTATTAGTAAGAAAGTGAAGAAGATGAGGGCGAAGAAGAGGTTACGAGTCATATTACTTTATTAAAACTAAATCTTTTTTAATCATCTCTCTAAATTTAGGTCGCATATGCTTCCAATTCACTAATTCCACAAAAAAAGGCAAATCACTTTCTTTAAATTCTTCCTCAATTTGAAAAACAGTCGCATCAGAAATATTTTCTTGATAGCACAAGTCTAAGTCAGATAATTTTCTGGCAGTCCCTCTTGCTCGGGAGCCATAAGCATAAAATTGGTAAGGGTACTTAACAAGTATTTGTCGAATTATTTCTCAATGTTTGTTTTCTAATTGTAACATTCAGGTAATTGTTTTAATTTGGCAATGAGTAAGTCTAATGCTGATAAAAAATTAGGTAAAGAACTAAGAATTTCTTCCGCTACTTCTCCATCATAAGTATGACTGGTTTTATTTCTTTTTTTGGCAAATTCAAACCAAATTTCAGCATCAGGGATTAGGCCTTCTAAAGCGGCTAAACGAAAGATTTCTTTAGGGGTAATGTGAACTTCTTGGGCACGGAGTAAAAGGACTTTACGAATAGTATTTTTGGCCAATTCATAGCAGACTTCGAAGGCTTGAATAGCACCAGCCCTTTCATAGTCGTTGTGAGCGTTTTTGATGATATCGGCTAAAAAGTTGCGAGTGGAGATGAGGGGTTGGATGTTTAGTTGGTTTTCTTTAGTCATATTTGTTTTTTTTTTTTTTTTTTGCGGGTGCTAATAGGATGTTTAAAACTCATACTTATTTCAAATCCACCAATCAATTCCACAACATCTGATAATCCACAGGCCACAAACCCTGTAATCTCTCCCTAAAATTCCCACTAGTAGTTTTTTCTCTAATCCCTCTTTTCTCCAACACTTTATCCAACTCCTCCAAGAACTTAGTTTGCCTTTCTTTATTATCCGCCGTCTTTTGTCTAAACAAATTAATCAAACTTTCCACCTGCTGACTGTTAATAGTCTGCTTAGGAGCAGTTTTAACTACTTCCACCTTTTCCTCGAATCTCTCCTGATAATCCGGATCCCCCTCATCTTTGACAGGCATCAAAAATAATTTACTTAAAAAATATTTCATGGCATAAGTTTCCGCACTACCTTTGGCTTTAGCCGGGTCATTATTCTGCCCTAAGGCTCAAAAATAATGAGTAAGTTGTTCACTAGGGTTTTCACTATTTATTAGTAAACACTTCTTTTGATACCTAACTAAATACATATTGCCTACTTTTTCATAAACTAATTCTTTATCTTCGGTATCACTAACTAGAATGGTAAGTTGATACTTCTCTAGAAGGGGCTTTAATAGGTTGAGGACTTGTAATTCGTTGAAGAATTTGTATCTTTGGCCTTTGTTTTCTTCTGTGCGAATTAGTTCTTTGATTTGGGATTGGATTAGGGTGAGTTTTTGGTAGAGGTTGCGAGGGGTTGTTTCTTCCTTTGCTTCTTTTTGCGATAATTGTCTTTCGGGAATGCTTGTTCCTTCAGAACTTCGTATTTCTTTATCTTTTTTAGGCATGTTGAGTAGTTTCTTTTTCCCTCGCAATCAACTTCTCCCCCGCACAATCATGACACTCAGTTTTAGTTGCTAAATATCGTTGAGTATACTCAGGGTCTTCATCATGCTTTTCACACTGTCTAAACTTAGAACTTAAAATATATACTTGTCTTTTTAATTGGATGATTTGTTGCTTTAATTCTTGTTCTGTCATATTAAAATTTATAATTCAATATTAATCACTCTTTCTTTATTTTGCTGTTTTATAATAGTCAAAGTTACCTTTCTTTTCAATAAATAATCCCTATAATTCACCAGTAAAGAACGGGCTTTGGGATTGAGTTCCTCATCTTCTTTAAAAACTAGTCAAGATTGAGGAGCATTATCTAATTTAGTCCTAATAATTCAGTAATCTTGCTTGGTTTTGGTTTGTCTTAATTCTATTTGCAATGGAAGGATGGTGATGGTATTCATAGTAAAATTATAATGTCAAAGGGGTGCCACAAACGAGATTAGTTTTGAACCTTTACTAATTGGGAAGTTTACTGATATTTTAAATCGTTCGTAGATATCATAATATCAGGGCAGTAGAATTTTACTCTTCTACTTATCCCCTTTGACTTTTTTACTTTTCATTTTGTCTCCTAGAATAATCAAGATATTCATTACATATAAACTCACTCATTCTCCTCATAATGTTTAACCGCTTCGGGCCTTTCTATACATTGCGGGCAAAAATGACAACCAGGATTGGCTTTCATTATCTTCTCACAGGTTTCATCTTTTTCATATTGACTTATAATTCTAACGCATGGTAAACACTTTTCTCCACACTGATGAGTGTGTTTTCTAAAAAGTTCTTTATCTCTATTTTCTCGGTAATATTTTCTGGAGTGAACTTTCCTATTTTCTTTATTTCAAGCTTGAAAACAAAGGCGGGAACAGGTTTTAACTCCGGGACCATCTTGCATTCTTTGAGGGGAAATTAATTGGTCACATTGGACACATTTTTTATCGGGTAATTGAAGCACGATTAATATTTTTATTTTTTCTTAAATGGTGCTAACCACTTATCAATTTTGTAGGTATCGACATTAGAGGTTAGCATATTGGAGGCAAGACTGTCGATTATGCCATTATCCAAAGAAATGAATAATTTTTAATTATTCCATTGCCGTTAGGCAAATAAGATAACAAATTAATACTTCGTATAATAAAAATACAAGTATTTTTGATTTCAGTCTTGCCATATTAGTGGTGGGCCAAAGTTTAAAAAGCCCACCATATTAGAACTAGGGGGATTGGTTACCCCCTCGACTATTAGAGTTTTTCGCAGTTCTTCTCTAATATCTTAACGGCATTTTTTAGAAGCAGAATAAAAGAAAAAAGACTGCTTTCAGGGGCAGGAGTAAATAACATAAAAAAAATCTCCTGCTGGTGTAAAATACTAACCCTTAACAATGTTTTATTCTATTTTGATAAAAATAAGTAAATTGTCCATCATAATTCTTAATTTTTACTAAACTTTCACTATTTTTTTGCCTTCTCTTTTCAAACCATGCTTAACCAAAATTAAATCTTGTTTTCATTTAGGTAAGTTAGAGGGCAATTTAAAATTACCGCTAGTTAAAGCACAGGCTATACAAACTCCCACCCACATCTCATCGCATTGTTTTTTATTGGCAAAATAAGTTATTATTCTGCATTTAGGGCATTTTTGGTTCATCCATCAGTTCTTCATTTAGTTCCACCTGTTCCGAGAAAATTTTTCATTCTCGGGTTGTGGGTGGTGGAGTTAGTAGTTAAGCGGGTTTCTTCTTTTTCTATTTCTCGCGAGTAGGAGGCGATATTTAAGAGTTGTTTTCTTTCATCAGCAGTCTTTCTGATTTGGTCTTGTTTTTCGGCTTGTTCATTATTTAAATCAGTATGTTCTTGCAATAATTTTTCTAATTGTTTTGATTTTTTGTCATCTTTTAAAATTAGGCTTAAACGTTTTATTTCTGCATTATATTCTGATGAGAATTTAGTGTGTTGTTTTAGCATAAGTTTGTAATTTTCTTATTTACTTAGTAATTTAAAATAATATTTTTTTATCCGCTAATTAGCAGCTAATAAATTAATAAAAAAATTTACTTAAGGAGGCTGCCTCTTTCCCCCTATTTAGCAAGAGATCTTTTATTTTTTCGACCGCTTCTTGGATTTTTGCTCTCTCTCTCTCTCTCTCTCTCTCTCTCTCTCTGCTTTATTATTCTTATATTGAAAATTATATTTATGGACCTCTTTTTGATAAACCAGCATCATCCTTTCTAAAACTTCGGCTAAATAAACATTCTCCTTTTGCACTATCTCTCTAATTCACTTATCAAATTCGGGGGTAACTCGGGTAGCAAATTGGACTACTCGACCGGTTCTTTTCATTAACCGGGGGCGATAATTACGGGTGTAAGGAATTTCAATTTGCCGTAAATTGGTGCTAGCCTCTTGTGGAGGTTCCGCTGTAATATTCTTTTTCCTACTTTTTAATTTAACTCACTCATTTTCTTTATTTATTTCTTTGCTTACCATATTATTATTGCTGATTGACTTTTTTAATTATTTCTTGTATTAATTTCTTAGCTTGTTCTTTAAGACCCATATAAATAACTTCCGTAATCGCTAAACCCTGGTTTTGTGCCTGCCGATAAGAAGTTTTTTCCAACAAGGGGGTTATCAACACTGAGTAATCCGCCTTACTTAAATATTTCCGAGCCCCAGCCTCTTCGGCTGGGGTAGCAATCCGATTCAGAGCAAAAATTAATTTCTTTTTTTTCACTCCCGCTTGCACTAAGGCGTGAAATTCCTTGACCGCTGGCACTAAATCATCCAAACTGGGTCCAGCCGGCTGAATTACTAAATCGGATTTTTGGGCGATCTCTAGCGTCGCATGACTGGTTCGGGCGGGGCCGTCAATAATCGTTAGGTCATACTTGTTGACTTCTCTTAATGCTTGTTGTGCAGTGGAAAAAATTTCTACTTGGAACCGGGACTTTTTTCGCAGTTGTAATCAGTGATAACTAGTCGCTTGCTGCGGATCACAATCAGCCAATAAAACTTTTAATTTTTGCTGACTGGCCTCATGGGCTAAGGCTCGGGCTAAAGTAGATTTTCCTACGCCCCCTTTTTGGGAGATGAATGCGATAATTGTTGACATACAACACTGTAATTTATATTAGCAGTTAATTAGCTACTAATATATTATAATTTTATATATATTTTTGTTTCTAAGACCTGACGATTATTGTTTTTTTCTGCTATAACTTTTTATCATTAGCACTAAAATAATTAAAAAAATCACTACTCCTCCAATTATTAAACCGGGCAGTAAATAAGAATTATTGCTAGGTTGCTGATTATTTTTTTGGTCTTTCTCTAATTCTTGTAATTTAGTAATTACTTTATCTACCCTTCCCTCTTTATTCAATAACTGATAAATATTCAGATTCTCTTTCTTCAACTGTAATAGTTCAGTAACAATTTGAGAATTAGATTGTTTTCTTTCTAAATAAAGTTCGGCTTCGATGAGTTTTTTGAGAAATTTTTCTGCTAACTGTTGTTCTTGACTGTTCTGTCAATTAGTCGGATTGCTTATTTCTTGTTTCTGAGCGTCATTTTGGTATTTTTTATTGATATCATGCTGAGTTGGAGGATTAGGTTGGTCATTTTTATTGGCAGGCGGATCAGTTTTTTTGCCCGATTCTGGACTTTCTGGTTTTTGCTTACCGCAAATTTCTGCTGTCAACTCGTCTAATAAACTTAAATCTTTGTCTTGTAGAGAAATTCCCTTATATTTCATATCTGCTTGATAAGTGCTTAACCAATGGTCTACCTTTTTATGAAAATGCTTTTTGGCTGATTCTCGTTCGTATTCTTTTCTGGCTTTATTTAAATTGTTTTTTACTTTCTCTCCCTCTTTGACTATTTTCTGAACCACTTTGGTTAATTCTTTATCGGCTATTGTCAATTTTTCTCATCCGGTTAGGTTGGCAAGTTCGGTGTTAGGATTTTCTTTCAATTCTTCAATAATTCCTAGAAAATTATCTCAACTAATCAAACTTTTTTCTTCTTTATCGTATTTTTTTCGTGTTTGGTTTATTTCCTGTTTCTTTTGAGTTAAAAGGTTTTTTAGACTTTTAGCCTGTTCTGAACTAATATTTTCTCAGGTTTCACTTTCATTAGTTATTTTCTGTTTTCAATCAGTGAAGAAATTTTGTATTTCATTGTCTTCTCAATAAACAAAACTATCAGCAACTATATCGTTAATTTCCTTTTCTAATTCTTTATAATTTTCAATTTGCTCTTGAATTTTTGCCAACTTTTCTTGCTGTTCTTTTTCCTTTTCGTCTTTAATTTTTTGTTTTAATTCCCTTTCTTTTTGTTGACATTCTGATTTAGGACAGACTGCTCTAATAGCAGGATCACCGGTATAATTGTCAGGAATATATACTTTATAACTGCCTTGGCCACAATGATAGCAAGGGAATCATTCATAATTTCCGTTCATAATGTTTAATGCAGGCAGTGGATTGAAAATAATCAACTGCTGGTGAAAAAAATGCTTTTTATTTTTTTATTCATAATTATTAATATTATAATTGCTATATAGTATTTTTTTTCATTTCACTATTGTTCGCCAGTTCACTTTTTTTCTTATTCAAACTCCTGGTAGTACTCCTGAGTGTGCTAGAAGTAATGGTTTAGTATTTTTTGGTCCTATAGGAAGTGGTAAGACTGCCATATTGGCTATGTTGGCTAATGAATTGCCTGGGGAAAATAAGTATGCTACTTT